CCAAGTGCAGCTCTGAAGTTGCCCCATATCTGCCAGAAAAGATCGGAACTGGGCTGCCCTGCAGCACTCTGTGCCACTCTCTGCTGGCTTTGGACCTCATATCCAGCTTGGTCGAGCACCGAACACTGTGCAATCTCAATAAAAGGTGAGCTAGGCTCCAATACACCAATTTAATGAACAAGGTGAGTCATCTCCCCTCATCTACATCGCCTTTCGCCAGTTCATCCATTGTTACTGAGGCCAGGTACCGGCTGTGCTCTGCCTGAGGCATTGATCAGTTACTCGTCACGGAAGGACTGACGCACGTTCGGACTCGTCACTGAAGGACATGTCTGTGAGAAAATTAGAGGTGCTACTAGCTACAGGACCAGTACTAGGGGAGTACTAGGCAAACAAATGATCGGCACTGCAGGGACTGTGCAGAGTGTAGCACACTAGGGGACGACACCTCGATGATGGACCAGCACGGCTCGCGCCACAGGCACTCCGGAGTCCTTGGGCTTCGGAGGGGTCCGTGGGGGGTGCCCTAGAGGTGATCGCCGCCATGGCCGCCATGGCCCAAGCAATGTTGACATCTCTCCCGCTATAGTTTCATCTAAATCCAGGTGCCCACTGGTGTCTTGGGAGAGCAAATCTTGGACGGGGGCTCGCTCGGGGGGGGGCCTCGCAGAAAGGGGGCGGTATGAGGCTGTCTGAGCTTGAAGTTTGTAGGGTCGGTCAACTTGTTGATAAACCATTTCATGAGTGCTTCTCATGAGAGCCAAATTTCATCAAATTTCTGCTATGTGAAGGCTTCGGTGAAGATCCTCAGCTGTTTTTGATGGCACAAGCCGGCCCCTGTCATGGTCAGCAGCTTCAATGCCCAAAGGAAATAGAACTTGGGCTGTAACTCAATAAGCCACTCAACACTTAATAACCAACTCGTGCAACGCATCCAGAAAAAGACAAGAAAAGGCTTCTCCAGCTACTAACTTCCTGATGTTTCCATGCTCCTGATCTCTTCCTCCCCGCTCCCCCCAGGTCCTGCGAACTCTTGGCTGCTTCAGACAACCACGGGTCTCGCAAACACTCCTGCGGATAGCTAAATACAACACTTCCCACAGCCAATTGCACAGCTGCAAGCCTGACTTATCGCAAGTTGAAGACCGATTGAGGCAACATAGCCTCTCTGAATGCCATCAGTACCACTGCTTACTGAGGCTTACTGACCGCCAGTGCTGTTATTCAGAAAAATGTCAGAAAGCACACCCCAGGTTGATTCGTTGATTGTTCCACGACAGGCTGACTTACAAAAGCCATCCTTCTGATTCTGACTCGCCCAGCACAAGTGAAGCATCTGCAAAAGGCAGTATAGAATAACATTGCCCACCTGCAATCCTTCTTTAAGGCATACGTTGTGTTCTTTCCGTTGACGTTTGTTGATCTGTCATGACCTGTCCCTCACAAAACCAACATCACAAAACCACCCCCATACGCCTGCCAGTCCGTTCTCTGCGAGCCACGTTTTGCGCCGCTTTTCTTTTGCGCCGTGACTTCGACAACTCGCCGGATGCCATGCGGCCATGGCATCGGCCGATAACGATCCTTTCAGGATGAGTGGGATAGCCTTGGGATGGCCTTGGGTCAAGCTTGCGCACCCTGGGCCAGACCCCTGAAGATGAACAGATTCCTCTACAAGGGAGGTCAACCTCCCCCCCCGTTTGGTGTGGGAGGTTGTGACTCACAGCCATATGATGGAGAGCCCCTTGCATCGCTCAAATCCGCAACAAGGTCGACATGCGTCGACACCAAAACGCCGCGTCATGGCCTCACTCGCATCTTTGCGCCCGTGGCGCCTGAAGCCTTGTGGATGCAATACCTCGCAGACTTCAACGAGTTGGGGTGTGTTTCGCGTGATTTGGCATCCTGTGGAGTTGTCGGATGGCAGATCAACAGGCTTCGAGGGAGTCTTGCCTTTAGGAGATCCATACTATATATATATATATATGGGACAGAGGAACAATCTTGCTTGAGGGACGACAAGTATCGATCGCAGTCCTTGCATGGCCCAAAAAGGCTCCTTTTTGTGATGGCGTTGTCTCAGCTTCTAAGGTGATTCTTCAAACTCTCCAAATCTGAAGAGATCCAGCCCCCCCAGCTTGAGAAAGTGGGTGCCAAGCTGCGCGCTCAGCATCCCGTCAAGAGTCGCGTCCTGGGCAGTGGGGAGGACATGCATTCGTGGGCTATATAAACAAACATTTGGGCACACACTCCACCCATGATCATCCATTATCTATTGATCTACTAGCCTGGCTCATGACACGCAACCTGGACCAAGGAATCATTATTTATCAGCACAGTTTCTCGCAAATCACCAAGTATATCCAAGTATGGATTTCTGACATCTATATAACAGAATTGGTGAAGCGGCAATCTTTTCACCGAGCCAAGCTTCTATGAACTCAGAGGCAAATGTCTGTTTCAAGCCTTCCCTTACCTCAGCTTGGCTTTCTCATCAGTCTCTCTCCCTCTCTCTGGGCAACAGCCAGTCGCGAAATTACAACAGGTTTCAGGTGCATTCATATGCTTTATTTCAGGGTGACCTGCCATAAAAATGCCTTCTACGTTTATATACCCTATTATATATAACACATGTATACACATGTCATAAGAACATTCATCATTATCCCCAACAAATCCCAAAAAACGCTGCTCGTTTGCAGTCTCTATAGCAACCCCTAAGCCGGCTGTTCAGCCGAACCCACGACGGGACGTGTGGCAATCTTCGTCTGTCGTCGCCAACGGAGAAGGCCTTGCAGCCAATGGTTGCCAAAAAGCCAGGTCGTGAGCAAGAACCCCTCCAGCCTTGGGAGATCGCGCGCTTTTCAGTGCAGGACGTTCCACTGAACACCTTTGTAGCAGGGCCCCTCCCAAGCAGCAAGGCGCAAAGAATTACACACACAGCATCAAACAGCCCAGTCTATTTTGTCATGTCATTTCTTGAGGCCAACAGAAAGTTCAACCTGCTACCTGGCCCTATCGACGCCCATAGATACATCACCCATTCATTCGAACCTGGTGAAGAGTCGCTTGCATGAGCAACTTAGCCCCGCAAGGATCCACTTGAGCCGCAGTTGATCCTGCACCTTCTTTGATGCGACAACCAGTCTCGGTTCATTGGGCTGATGCGATTGCTGTTCTTGCCTGATCTTGGCATCTTACGTAACAGTTAACACGTCTCATAATCTGATTCATCGAAAGCCGCGAGACTCCAACTACTCAACAAAGAAAAGAAAACGTCCGGCAGCAAAAAGCAAGGATGAGCACCTAATATGTATCTCTTGCCATCTCCTTCCATCCCCATCATCCTTCCCATGTTTGTTTTCGTTTCATCGGTGTCCCAGAAGCTTCTTCTGTCGATAGATGAAGTCCACGGGGTCCAGCTTTTGCAAAGTCCCCGCCAAACGCCCATAGACCCAAACCGTGGAGCCCGGGGGCAACAAGGAGAGCAGCTTCCCCGTGCTCTCTCCAGAGATACAATCGAACGCATGAGAGATCCTCGGACGTCCCGTTCCAACAGAGTCGCTTCGGACAGTGACCCCAAGGTGAGAGGACCAATGGCACAGACCGGTCGGTGGGGTCAATATGGATCAATATGGACCCCCCATCATCCCCCATCTAAAGGACATCTTGGGGGAAACGTGCCATCGAACCTCTGAAACAGCTGTAAGATGTCCGGTCCATTTCAATCCCCCCCGATGAAATTGAGAGATCGTATGGAGATCGAGTTGCTGAACGAACTCGCCCAACGTTCCAGGAACAAACTCAAAAAGGCTGAACGAAGTGTGGCCCCATGGCCCTACGTTCATGAGCTTCAATTCTTAGTGAATTCGTGCAAATTCTATAGAATCATCCGGAATCACAATCTGGACTGCCACCCACCAAGCACGCAGTCTAATCCCGGAACAGGTGTTCCAAATCGTTGCAAACCGTGCTTTTCCAACCTTGCTATCATCGCAATTGGATCCAAGACACTTCAATTGTTGGATTAACGCTTGCAACTTGGACTCCCAGGTCTCCTCGCTGGTGTCCACTATGTACTGTGCACCCAGCTTCTCCTCGCTGGTCGGTCGCTCCATGTGTCGTCCATGTGTCCTCCCAGGTCGTCCACCGTCATCGGCCAGTCCCAAACGACGAACCGGACATGGGACACGCGTGGAAGACCAACTTCTGAGGCGACGAAAAAGACCTCTGAGGCTCCAGCTAAGATGTCCACCTGCTCCTTCCGCCGGACCAAATTCACAAGGACCATACCTTCTTGCTGGCCTCGCTGGACTCTACAGCTGAATCTGGCAACAACAAAATCCATGAGCCAGGAGGGCCAACCAAAGACCTTTGCCTTCAAATGCCTTGCGGATCATGTCTAGATCTGCCCAGTGACAGTACCGCACCAACATCTGCCCCAGTTGAGATGCTGCAGCCGTGTGGATGAAGACCGTGCCCTTGCGTGCGCGAACCGCCTCCACGATGGAGATCACTGTCATGGGGTTGATGATGGCAGCACCTCGAAATCATTCGAAATCGAACACGTCCGCCGAGCGTCGCTGTGGGACCATGGTGGGAGGACGAGCGAGTGCAAAGCGCCAAAACTTCAGCCCGAATTAGGTCTTCCAAAAGTGGAATCTGGTCGCAAACCCGCCAAACCGATTCAGCAACACCTTCCAAGTTCCTTTTGTGTGAGAGAGGCCAAAGTGGGACCCTTCGCACCATTCATGTGTCTACCTCAACCCTGATAGTACTGCTGTAGAAAACCTCCCTGCGATGGAAGGCTTTCGCCAACAAATACAAGCGGTCACTCGTGCTGGATGCCTTCTGTGGCTTGGCTGCCAACGCCTTGTGCACAGCCTGTAGCAAAAAAAGCATACACTACAAACCCATGAAGAAAACATCCACATCTACATTATTCTACATTAGCTCCAAACTTCAGAACAAATACTGTACTGTAACTAGCGAAACACCAACTAGGAAGTGAGATGAAGTGAGCACCAGCTCATCTTCTCTACCCCATCCAGATCGGACATCCAAGCATCTCCAGAATCCTCACTATCTGCCCAGCCGCCCAGCCCCGGCCCAGCCCCAGCAGGCATTATTTCACACACCCATCTGGCACCCGTCTTCCATCTCCATCCATCCAAGGCACAGGCATCTTCCAAAGTCACATCTGAGGGCACTGTGGTCAACAGGAAGGCGTCGGCCACTGCGTACTCCGCGTAGGCCTTGCCCAAGAAGGCCACTGACTGGCCCAGCCATTGGGATGCCAGGAGGCCGCCACCGGTAGCCACCACCACGCCGGAGCCTGAACACGGCAGGTGTCCAACGGCATGTGGCTCGAGAGGAAGTGGCATCTTTGGAGATGGCTGGTGGTTGGGCGCCAACCGGATCAAAATCTCTTGTGTTTTCCATGTCATTTCTCTATAATTGAGGCATGTTTATGCTGTCTGCTTGGCATTTGGATGAAACGCCAGCCGGTCTCCAGATGTTGCAACATCACCTGCCTTCATTTCCCAAGGGCATTGGATACCCCTGTGAGGGCGGTACCTTCCAAGTACCATCATCTGAGGGGTTCACAGGGCTGGCAGCCACCTTGATCAAGACTTGTCCTGGCCGGAACATCGAGTTGAAACCACTTTTTGGACTAATAGGCCAAGGATGGTGGACGGTTCAAACAAACAATCCATAATGTCCATAATTATAAATCATATCAATATTAAAAAACACATAAAACACATATTAGTTTATAATCCTAAAACTTCCCAACTCTAAGGGTTCAAAAGGCCCTTAACAATCACGTCGTGCTGCTCACGTCGTGCTGCTCACGTCGTGCTGCTCACGTCCTGGCCGTGGCTGAGGAAGATCTACCTCCTCGACCTCGATGCGTGCCTGAGAGATGTCCTGAGGCAGACAAACATCCTTGCGATCATATGCATTCCTATGGATATTCACATATGCTGGAGGCCATCGGTAGTAGGTTGGAGGCCATTGCTAATAAAATCGTAAATCAGTCTGAAGATCATATATCGAATATGATGGAAACACACCGGGATCGTCCTGCAAATCAGGTATATAATGGTATATACCTTGGAATGGAATGAAATAGGAGGATTGATTTGCTTGTTTTACAGATCTGCACGTTCTGCAGCGTTCCATCCCCGAATGACGTGGGAGTCCTGCAACTAGTCTGAAGGTAGGCAGTTTGGGCACGTTATTGTGTGACAACATAGGACAAATTGTAACATATAGTATTATATAATATATATACACACAGTACATACATCATAAGGTTCAAGCATTCAATTATAGAAGCACGGCTCTGACATGTTTTAAGCATATCAAAATAAGTAGGATAAAATGCCAAATGCTTGCACTGGCTCTCTCCCAACGAGTCATCAAACCTGCAAATCCGACGACTCTTCTCTTCAGCCATACATGCTATCCCACCGGCAAAAAACAAGAAACACATACAGTAACTGACCGTCTCGCTCCACCGATGACTCGAATATCATTCTGCCCAAAACCTGGGCAAGTCGCTGAATTGGCCTCTCTGAGCACCAACCTGCAATGGCGTCAGTGGAGTTTGAGATCTGGAGCACTTTGCACAGATCCGTCTCCCCAACCCCCAGCAGTGAAACCTGCTGGGAGACGGTCCATTGTTCAGCAGAAACCAAAAACCTTTGCCCACCAAATCCCGCAAGCGACACGACCTATCTCAGCTGTCAAGCGCTGAGCAAACCATCATGGCTCCCATGAAAAGCCTTCACATACTTTTCGAAACTTGCGAATGTGGTCCCCCAAGATATTGAGGGATTGTTCTGGCTGGGGGGCAACACACCGCTCACTCACAGTCCCCACAAACACCTCCTCATCTTCTGCGGAAGCTCTTGCCCCTTCTTCGGCTGCGACTTGAACTTCACAAAAGCAAAACATCCGCCCAACGCAACACCCACAGCCGTCAGCGTCTCCATCACGAAGCGACCGGGTTCGTGGAAGCGACCGGTGCACTCTTGGGTTTTGGGGTGGGCTCTTGTCGGGACAGTGGCGGTGATGTCCCATTGGAAGCTGGTATTGTCAGGTATATCTTGGTCTTTCAAGTGCTTGACTGGTTCTTCCACACCTTGATCCGCGATCAATGGAAAGCAGCGAGCCAAATGCTTCAGATTCATAGCCCAACTATGCCACACTGCCAACATCAAGCCAAGTCAAACAGCACCGGATCGCGTGGTCTCCGGCGCATCGGGTCTCTCATTCTCTTCAACCTCAGGTGGTCGAGCATCAGTTTCACGTGTCGAGATTTCAGGGTGAAGGAAGGGAGGCCCTGGCAACCCCTGGTACAAAGAAAAAAACGTCTCCAAATGCAACTATTTGATGAAGAGTCATCTGCCACCATGGTAAACATGAGCCACTGACTATATAATATCTATTCCACATGTGGATACAGGAACATAGGCGGGTGGCTCCCTGCGCATGCCCATTAACCTAGCTCTCAGGTTCTGGCTAGTACAACAAGATTTGCGCAAGGGGTGCCTTTTTGACCATCCGCTTGCACTTGCCAATCGCAAACCCCATACTATTTGCAACCTAACACCTCCCTCCGGAAAAAAAAAAGAAACTGGCCACTTCACCTGAGGCTGAAGAACACCCCATCTCCCAATCGACTGGCACATGTCTTCCTCGCCATCGACTTGCCCGGCTGCCGGGCTCATCAGTCTGGGGCCCTGACGGCCAGCATCCTCGCGACGAGCCTTGAAGCTCCAGGCTCCTTCTCGAAGACCGGATGGCTGAAGCTGACCCTGGCCCCGCCCCGAGCATCGGGTGGTTCCTCCGCCCTGGAGCCAAAGGCCAAAGTCACAAAGATGTGGGTTGTGCCTTACTAGTAGTAACAAGAAGCTACTAGCGTCTCCAGGGCTCGGGGACTTGAACGGGCTCATTGGGGGTTGTGGGCAACCCAAACGAGGGTAGCGCCTAGGCAGGGCTGAGTGATGGCAATGAAGGCCACACAAAACAAAAAAAAAGAGAGCACGCCTCGCGTCACAAAGCTTTTGCTTGATCTCTTTCATCTTTGGCGAGCCGACCCAGTTTTCGCCTTATATCTCAAAGTGGAATTGGTCGACACGTGGGACCACGCCCTCCAGTGAAATCACAAGGGCTACCTTCCAAGGGCTCATGTTATGATAATTTTTGATTTAATGCAAAGTCGGATATGGCGAACAAAATCCCAAAGTCTGAGAGATCCATCTTTGATTCGATCAGCTCGCGTTGGTGCAGTGTTTCTGTCAGCGACCGCGTGGAACTCAGATCCACACCCGGCTTGTCATCAAACAGGCGGCCATTGTATGGAAAAGAGCCTAGCAAGTTACCAAGCAATTTGACCGCCATCGTCCAAGAAACACTTGACTAAGGTTTGCAGTAGGGTGTGGATGGGTGCGCGCTCTGTAGCCTCCATGAGGAGCAACATTAGTTTCCCTCTTATACAAGTATTATATAATAGTATATATAGCTATCCCCAAATCCACCTCAGCAATCCTCAGCAGTGTTCCAGGCATTCTCTTACAGCCCCTGGTGGCCTGTCAGCATCTTGTAAGCAATGACGCCCACCGCAAAAATGTCCGAGGCGGGCGAATATTTGCCTGGCAAGACCAAAGCATCTGCCCATGGCTTGCCCCAGTGCCATGAACAGCCATGTGGTCACCAGGACGTGACCAGGGAGCAGCCTTTCTCCAGCAAGACACCCCAAAGAACGATGCACGTCACTAGCAATATTAAGCCCATGCGCCACAAGAAGTGGGAATTTGGCACAAAGCAACCGCCAGGTCTGCCAGGTTCGGTGAGGATCCAGTCGGGACATATCTGGGTTGGGATGCATCTGAGCAAACCAGTCAAAAGCATAGTTTGGGCTTTTGGGATGGAGCCACACCAACATCCCATCCTTTGGACCATATCTGGTGATCTCAAGTTATATACAGTAGATAGAAATGCAAACACCCTCAACCGCCTCAACCACTCTAAAACATGTATTGGGACACCGTGTCTACCTGACCACTCCAAAGAACCTTCTTGCCCACTCCTGAGCTCCCATCCCGACGAAGAACCGCCCACCTTCGTAGGCTTCCGGAGCGATGTATTGATCCGTGCCCAGCACATGTCTTGACTTTGGGCTGGTCGAGTTCCTTAGCGACGTGAGTCATGAGCCAAGAGTCGGTCTCCTCTTTGTAACCTCTGCGCAGCTGTAAGGAACTCAAAGGAAGCGCTCAGTTGAAAGCCATCATCATAAAGCTTCATTGAACAATTCACCATGGACCCAAACACAAATTGTCTGATCAACTGTGAGTGTCCAACTGCGTCTTAACTGAGGGTTCTTCAAAGTAAACGCCGTAATTATTCCGTTCTGTTTTGCAGCATTCTCACTCAAAGCTCCTACAAATAAACTGTCATGAATCATGATGCAAAACGGACTTCTAATATGCAAAAAAATGCAACAACATCTATTGCTTGGACACAAATTGAGCACAACCTTCTCGATGATTTGGCCTAATCAAGAGTCTTCATCCAAAAAAAGAACACAAAAGGAAACCACCAATAGCTTACCATGGCCAACGTCATCTCCCAAAACTATCCAGTCATCCATCCCCATCCCTCACGTCCCTCATCTGGGTGCCACAGACCATTCTTCAACGGTGTCGAAGTCTATAAGCTTGACCTCAATACTTCCACTGAGGCCTCTTCTGAAGGCTTGGAGTTTCTAGATCGATTTTTGTCGGTCGGCATCTAGAGAGCATTGATTTCCATCCGCTGCTACAAACCCATCATTCCAAATCAAAAGCCTTTCTGAACAAAATGCAACATACTACCAACCAGTTGGTCAAGATGCTCAAGGAGTTGTCAACCATTTGGAGGGATTTAGGGAGGCTTCCCGCTGGGGCTTCCAGCCTCTCTCCCCCCAGCAAAGACGAACCGACCAAAGCTAAATGCCCTCCACCTTTTGCACCGCTCCTTCACCCTGCTGGGAGCCCCCCCACACCTGCGCCAGGGCCTCAGTGCGTCGGTTTCGCGTGGGAACTATCGGGGCTGATGGCCTCCCCAGCCTACGAAAAGGAGACGTTCCTCAAGGCAACTGAGGCAAGGCAAACGCATATAAAAATATCAGAAACACAGGGGTCTTGAAAAAGCTTCCTTAACCAAGAAATGTTTGGGGAACGTTCATTCAAAAGGTGGGAGAGCATAGATGTATGTGGATTGCTGACTTTTGGACTTTTGTGCAACCACTGGAATTGGACAAAGCATGAAAAAGCCAGGCTGGGTCTAGTGTATTCGAATGTTATGATTTCATGTCGTAGCCTCATTCCATTCCAAGTTCAACTGTAATTAAACGTCGGAGCAGGTCAAAAGCAAGTGTGGAGCTGCCTACTTCCAGCAGCAAGCCAAGCCTTCCACAATCTTCCACATCTTCTACCACATCATTTCAATATATTTCAATACTGGGATGCTCCCTGTATGGGCAAACACCTGCGATCACCAGCTCTTCCGCTGCCACATTGAGCGCAAACGCGGGCAAACCATGCACTTCTTTTCCATGTAGCCAAAAGCAAACGCCCACATGCACATCCTTGAAGACCACCGCTTTCTAGTTGACTTAGTTGAAATCAGCTCGCCACAGCTCTTTCCCCACAGGAAGACATGACCCTTGTCCCTGCTCACCTTCCCAAAACATCCCAAAACCACTGCGGCCCCCCTGGCTGGTGGCCAAGTTTCGCCGAATGTGCGCGGGACCTCAGTCGGCCAGAACAAGACTCGCCAAACCTTTGCGATCCTGGGCTCAGCTGAGGGCTCACAGAAACTTCACTATGTATAAATGTTTCGGTAGACTGACGTTCCCTCACTCCACCACGGCATCTGACCATTAATTCTCTAATGAGGAAGTCCCGATCTCTTACATCTTCCCTGCATGTAGAGCCTCGGCATATGCCACGATGTTTTTTCTCCCCCGCCCGCTGTGCGCTGTCCCCATCCGCGCACCGAGCACTAGGGTTCCGAGCACTTTGGTCCTGGCCGATTGAGCATCACATTTTCCAGCTTCAAGTCTTCAGCGACTCAGCGCAACCGGCACCGACCGACGCCGGTCGCCTCCCCGCAGCACCCGTGGAAGGACGGCGCCCATGAGGACGGCGCCGTCCTGTGCAGCCTAAACCGGTGGCGCGCCTTGTGGATGAAGCCATGAGAATGAAGTTCAGCAACTGCCTTGGCACAAAAAACCAATGGAATGGCATGAGCCTGCAAGATTCCAGTGCATCTTTTAGAGCCCAGAACCTAAGTGTGCTGGGCCCACCCACAACGCCACACGTAATCAATTATGCATGCATTCAGCGAATCCCAACATTGTCCCAACATGTTCCCAATGAATTATTTTGTTGCCACGGAAGAGCATTGACAGTCACATGAAGACACAAAAACAACCAAACACACCAACCAACCAACCAACCAACCAACCAACCAACCAACCAACCAACCAACCAACCCACCATGCGCCCATGCGCCCATGCGCGCGCGCGGGCAGAGCCCCGTGCAGCAAGGAGTTCTCGTAAGACCTCTCGAGCTTCATGGGCAGGCAACCGCCGCTCGGGTGCCTCGTCGGAGTCGGTGCTGCTTGGCCAAGAGGCACACCATTGGACCATGCTTGGCCACAGGATAGTGACCGGAGAGGTGAGGCGGCAAAGAAAATCAAAGAAACATGAAACAATCATACCGGGTCCCAGTGAGATAGGACCCAGTGGGAGGGTGGTTGTAAAGTCACACCCACCTGCAAGAACTTTCATGAACCTTCTTACTGAGAGCAGGTGCTCGAAACATCTCAAAACTACCATGCGGGTGCAGTCCAGGTGAGTTGAGGAAGGCTTTAAGCTACGGTTGAATGGGATTAACTATGCAGTATTAGTATATTAGATTATTAGTATGGCCTAGCCCGGCCTAGCCCTAGCAGCGCGTGATTAGCCGCTAGGCAGCTTGGTGGAAAACCTTCACGACCCTAGCTGTCACGACCTCATGGTACCTCTTGGATGTATAAGCCCCCTAGCAGCTAGCACCATCGCAGTTCAACTCTGATGGCATGGGCCCGCTGGGCGCCCCCGACGCCAGACAAGCACTCATACAAATCGCAGCCTGGCCAGAGGAGGCGGAGCTGTTTCAAGATGTTACTCGGAACAAAGGGCATCGCTACGAACGGAGCAATGATGCTACTAGTAGCTCCTGGCATTACTACTAGATCTACTAGTGGCAAGAAGCTACTAGGTGAAGGCCATTACTACTAGTAACAAGAAGCTACTAGTTGCAACAGTTCAACAAGGAGATTTCAATCTGCTTAACTTGCAGTAAACCAAACAGCAATCTCTAGGTTTCATCAGCCGATTCGTCAAGCAGCCGATTCATCAAGCGTCATAAAAGAACCAAGCCATCAGTCTACAGCTGGAAACAGGATATGTGTAAAACCAAAAACTCCAGAAAGTGCACACAAATGCAGAACAAACACACACCGCAAAAAAAAAACAAAGCACTAGTAGTGGAAAAACATTGAACAACTATTGCCATCTATATTGGACACATGCACAAATAAACACATGTGCAGCGGCATTAATTTGGTATTAAACTCAAATACACACTATCTATTATGTGGGGGCCCTATCTCGTTCACAAGCGAATACTGATGATAGACAAGCAAATAGAGCATGCCGTAGACGACTTTAGTAAAGCCTAAATCAAAGTGGTTGCTCACATGGTTACCGGTCCATGGCTACCCGTCTTCGAGTCAACGAAGCAAGCACTACTTGCTTCCGTTCACCTCTCAACCTGGCAAATCGAACATCACACCGGTCAGTGAGACGCTTCCCTTGTGACATTGGGGACCTCAGCTTTTTCCGGTTTAGAACCAAACAGGTCTTGAACAGCTGCTCTGACCGGACTGGTGCCTCCGGCTCTTTCCATGACCACATAGTACGCCTTGCTGTCCTGAACGACAGGAAGAGGCAGGGGGCTGCTACTTCTTGAAGGACATGTTCTGGCTTCTGGCTGCTTGAATGCAATGGATGGTTGTCAGAATCTTTGAGTGTCTGCTGAGAAAAACACATGCCCAAAACCAGGAACGCACACACAGGCCATCGAGTTCACGCGCATGTCTCTCCACGCTCGCCTCGAGGACATCGATGAGTCGTGCGATGCCGTTGCTTTGAGGCATATTCAGTATGAGTTCCTGAGGGCCAGCGCCAACTTCAAGCGTTCACCAGTGCACAGGTGGCCGGAAATCCAGTACACCCCCGAAAACAAACATAGACCCTGACAACAGCTTTTTACAAACATCGGTGAAGACGCTGGTAGACGCTGCGACAGAGGTTGAAACAGGTTGAAAAAGGTCGGTGAGGAGCGACCAAGGTTGCTCAACGGTCAAGGTTCCCTCTTCAATTCATGCGACCAATCTCTTGATGGAATTTGGGATGGCCTTCACCAAAGATCATCCAGGGGTTGAACCCAGCAGAAAGCTTCAAGCACCATTTCCTTATGCAAAAGCAGTCTCTCGGCAGCTTTTTTGCAGTCTCTGAGGTGCTAGCTGTGTTGTTCCGCCACCGTGACTCTTCATTTTTACCCTGAAAGCTCTTGTTCTTGTAGCGAAGCTTCACCACAAACCTGGGCTACTTGGCGCAATGAGCCACGTGCAAAAGTGATTGGGTTAAATTCAATTGAAATTCGTGGTAACTCTTGCATCGTCAATTTGCTCTCCCCATCCCTCTGTGCCTCATCATTTAACTGGTATGCGAAAGTCATAGATCAACATCTAAAGCCATTCTTTGAGGCAAATATCCGCAGCAGTCCAGCAGTTCAGCAGATCCTGTGGGTGCTTCTCTTGACAAGATTTGCTGGCAGGTGAGGGGCAAACATTCGCAACTAGTCAACAGCTGGGGAAATGCCGGGGTTACCCAGCTCTTTCTGCATCAGTCAGACTGTAACGTTGTCATCTCGCAAAATCTGACAAATACAACTCAACTCCTCACACATCATCCATGTCCGTTGCCTGGCACCGCGCTCCTGGGTCCCCGTGCGACTCCTGCGCTGTTGGAGTGTCCTGCACTCGCATGGTTTGATATCGCTTTTTGTGATTTCAAACACCCCCAAGCTCTGCGGTGCCTAAGCATCGCATTTCCTGTGGCGCCTTAGGAACAAGAACGATACGAACGGGGCTGCCATCGCTACTACGAGTAGGAACAAGAAGCTACGAACTCACAGCGAAGCTCGTCGTGGCGCAGCTCGTCGTGGCGAAGAGCTCGTCGTCCTCACTTGCTCGGCTTGCATGACGGATCTCCATGCCTGCATGACAGGATGGCATCACCTTGGTCAGGCATTTCAGGATGTGACCCAACAAGGAGGACTAAATTGATGGCAGGGACCCTATTGGTGATGAGAAAGAGAAATAACGAGATATACAGTAGTTATTTCCTTCATCAAGATGCACAATTGAACATGCGAAAGCTGCTTGCGAGAGTCTGACGATGCACAAACCAGCATGCCGATGCTTGTGGCATGATGTATGGTTTTGCATGACATGCTGTTCTGTATCCACTTCCTTCCTTTCCACCTGCTACCAGATGCTACAGGTACATCTCTCCAACCCACAGGATAAAGAAACACATCCAGCGCCAAACTTTCGTTGGCCTCTTTCGTTCCGCTAGGCCCTCCGAACGTTGGTGCCAATGCGATAGTGCCGTGCCTAGGTGGGTGTGGTCGGGCGGCAAGTCATCGGACCATAAGAGCTTGGGGTCATGTTGGTAGCCATGGCCATGTCTCTCATATCTCTCTCTCTCTCTCTCTCTGCAAAGTTCTCCTGTGCATCCATGAATTCATGCGTGCTCAAGACTCCAGCAATATCTTCGACCCATCTGATGCCACGGCGGCCGCCTGGCACAACTCAAGTGCCAAGATCGTCATGCACGTCTGGAGGATTCTGCAGTAGCAACTCCTACACTAAAGACGGACAGGTCGGGATGTTCGAGGGATGTTCAGGGGGGGAAGGCACGCGACGCAAACACTTTAAACACCTTAATTAAACCTTTGCAAACACCTACAAGAATGCGCATTCCACAGTGGGGCGCACAGAACAAAACCATCGATGCATATCGATGCACAACCACACAGGCCATCCAGTGGCATCTCCAAGTTCGCCCTCCAACATCTGGCCACCTGGCCTCCAGCCGCCTCAGTCCCACTGGTCATTGGGCGGCTGAAAGCCTGACAAAGACGACGCGGAAATGACATCTAGTGACCAAAGAAAATACGCAGAGAGTGCATTGAACAAATGCATGAACATCTGCTCGGTTTTGAACAGTTCGCTTTGTGTCCCAACTTCCCCTGTCACAGGTAGATCAAAAAGTCTCTGGGCCACTGCAGTGCAGCACGCGTGTGCCCTGCGCATGCGTAGTGCACATGCCATGCATGTCCCGGACCTTCGGCATCTCCAAAGTCTCAGGTCTTCCTTGAGGGCGGACGATGAGACTCCGCGACGAGTCGATTTCACCCAGACCCATGGAACTTCACTTCACTCAAGAGGCGATGGCCACGGGGGGCCACGTGGGCTGCAAATGCCGGTCCTATTGAAGCTCAGGAGTTGGTCCCCTATAGTTCTCCGGAGTGCTTTCCAAGCACCTGGTCGACCTGATCTTCGACCGGCCCACCCCGCCCAACATCGTGGCTCCGCCACGCGTTGTGCCGCGTCGTGCCGCGCTCCTGGGGGCATATTCCGTCGAGGTCCTGCCGAGCCGCGGAGAACGGGGCCGCCGAAGGGGCGACGTTTTCGCAGAAGTTGCATCCACAAAGGTCCAAGCCGTGAGGGCGCAATAACTGCAGTCGCCGCGCGCGAAAAAAGCTCCGTTCGTAGCGTTCTTGCTCCTAGTAGTAAGGCCAGGAGCCCCGTTCGTAGCGTCCATAAGGCCCTAGAGGCAAATCCAAGATCTGCAGCATCGCCTCCTCGGCCCTCAGGGTACTATCCCTTCGACTTCATTCGCAGGCTTCACGGTCCTGTTGGTCCCTTTAACGTGACTGCCAGGGGTAGGTGTTGCAACCTGAAGACCGAGATCCGTGGAGTCGGAGACTTTCGAGGGTGGATCAAAGCCGGTGCTAGATTGCCCCCTGCAATCGGCATAAAGGAAAAAATCAGTGCAATGGATCAGAAGAAAGGCCTAAAGTGGTGTAAGGAATCTCTCCGTGGTTTCGACTGATGAGACAAGCCCATGATAGTCCAACTCTTGCTGGCCGGAGAGGGCAGCAAAGCACCCTTGAGATCTCAAGCTTCTTGTCCAACCACTTCCAATGCGTTGGGCGAACGGGCACTTTCCACCACCATGTTTGGAATCCGTTCACATGCGTTTACCACTGCGTTTACCATGTTGTGAGCAGTTGATGATGCTCGGGCCCACGTCGAATGCATCTAGATGCATCTAGTGTCTCGACAGCTAAGGGTTCCCGGCGCCGGGTCATTCCCCGAACTGGCCGGCCGAGCAAAGGCCTGGTGGCACGGGAGAGGTCACTGTGGAGAGCTTCACTGGGTGAAAGCTTGTGGAGAATTGTCACCTAGGTCAATTGGTTCCAAGATGTTCCAAGCATCCCCAAACATGGAAGCATTGTCTACGCCTCAGCTTTCTCCGTCATCAATTTGGGACGATAATCACCCGGCATCTCCCTGCTTCATATACATGCAACACTTATGAACCAGCACTCAGATCTGCCTTGGTCTGGGTGAACTGAGCTGCCCTCGGTGGCGAGTCGGCAAGTTGTTGTCGGCGAGTTGGTGGCGAGTTTGGGGCATTCAAGATCGCAAAAAGAAAAAACACTCTACAACAAACAAATCGAACTAGCTCCTGGCATCGCTACTGGGAGCAAGGACGCTACTAGGGGCTCCTGGCCATACTACTAGGAGCAAATAGCTACAACAAACAAAATCGACTATTGTTTAATGGTTACTACATCTGTTGCTACCACATGTTTCGTTGCACGTGACATCTACAGATTGCTCTGTGGCTGGGAAAGGACATGAAAGGAGGCACACATAGGCACACTACATCCCCTGATTCCTTTGAACCGTTTAAACCCAAAAAATCAACAAGCAGGGCACTTCTACCTGACAACCACCCTAGTGCAACTCACGGATCATTACCATGGCGTAGCATGCCTATCTAATTCTTCAATTTAGATGTCGTTCTTCCTGTTCTTCCTCCGCTATTCGCACCCTCCTCGCAACAAAAAGCAGCCAAGCACTACTTCAGCAGGGGTATTGTGATCCGTTGTCCTCCCCCTTCGAGGCCCTCCACGTAAGCTCCCGCGAAAAAAACACGCTGAGACCAGCAGCAGCAGCTGTGAATTCTGCGATGTCCCGGGCCTGGCTCGCATTGAAGTCATCTACATTTTTTTAAATCATTATTAGTCACTCAGCTCTTCTGGTTTGTTTATTTTCGCCATCCATGGGGCCCTTTGTTTTTTAAGATTTAAGCCCTTTCAATACATGCAGCGAAAGTGAAGCATCTCCGGATCTATTGGCTTGAACATCCAAAAAAAAGGTTCCCGCAAGCAACACATTACTGCTGTACACCCTCAACCACTTACCAGCCACCCAGCATGACCACTGCACCTCTATCCCTGCTGCCCCCCGCCTGCTGCGGAGTGCCAACGATGCAGGCTGTGATGGTGGAGGTGACCTCGAGCCCCGTGGAGCAAGGGAATGACACCACCGACTTCACCGACTTGAACCAGCTCAGCCCCACAAGACGTTGAACGACACCTTGAACTGCCCTCCTCTTTGGCAGATTCGTACCCATTTTTACATATCTTTACCTAATATAATAATATATATATATATATGGTTAACTTTAGGCATTTTGGACTGGACAATGACAGACACATCACCATTGTTGCAAAACCACAGATTTGTTGAGCATGGTGAGACCAGCTTCTGCACAACCCATCACTGCTAGCTACACTCCGAGTAGCACACCCATGCCATCCAAAATAGAACTGCAGCAGCCGATCCTCTATCCATCTCTATCCACAAACAGTTCCACGTGAGCAACGCAGGGCCTTTTGATCTGGACGGCATGTGATCTGGGCCACCGAACGGGTCACCCCGTATGTCAGGCATCTGCCCGGGGAGCTCCACCCTGGATCTACGGTCGTCTCTGGCGACAAACTCCCGTCTCGTTGCAGTAAGCAAAAGCTACTGGGCGGCTCCCTACTGAGTGGATAATTAGTAGGGACCCTGCCCTCGTTCCAGTTCCCTGCCACAAGCTCCCCACAAGCGGGATGAACCGTTGCTCAAGAAGCCAGGATTTGTGCGTCTTTTTGTTCGTCATCATGAGCAGAAACATTGACGGACCAATCTAACAGCAAAAAGGTGATGAAAACATCTGCATGAAGCAGCACCGTCACTGAGTAAACCAAGAATAGATCAACACACCTGTCACTGGTCTGGCCTATACCGCTGCGGATTTCGCACAGCCTTAGCCAGCGGCCGTAGAAGCTGACGTCACCGAGTGACCAAGAATCACGATCTACGAGTAGTTTTCTTGAAGAGCTGCCACCCAGCAACTCGTTACAAAGCTTTTGAATGATCATGATACTGATCATAATCTATCAAATATGCACTAAGTTGAGACCACCGGCGTTGTTGGTGTGAGGTTTGACCAACAATCCGATGGCAATAAGTCTCAACATCTGAACACATGACACCACGACCACCACATCCTGACTGCATGGTCATCTTCCCCAAGGCACCTCAGAACAAACACCGGTGGCAACGACTTCCAATCGACACCTGATGGTGGCGTCTGCACCGTCTTCCGGTCGCCGGGATCCCAAACCGCATTGACGGACACCAAGGACGCCGCGGTGCCTAGGAGGAAGCGAGCGCGCTCTTTTTTTCAACGGGGGTCCGTTTTTCAGGTCTGAACACAGGCGGCGGCCACTCGAAACGGCTTTTGGTTTTTCTCACATGGTTTGGGAGGGGAGTGTCTTGCACAAGCGAGCGTGCATGACTATACAATCATAGAGTCAAAATACATATTAATTTATATCTATATATACAGAGTGGATACACAAAACTAAAACTATATGCACGGGGACTGAAATACAATGCACAAGGACTGGGATACTAATGCAATACCATAAACATTAGGTGCCCTCAAAAGGGTAGTCACATGTTGTCACAAACATCCACAACCAGCCGCGAAACGAACTCATCTTTTGGATCCCACCTTTCAATCACCAATATGCCCGAGCGCTGCAGATCTAGTGATCCTGAACACAAAATCAGTTCCTTCCCATACACTCTGCCACTGACTGTCTGCGAGCGAAATCTGTCAGGTACCAAGCTCATTCAACGCAAAGCCCTGCGAGCCCCAGAAGCAAGATTGAGCTGGTCCAGCATTCAGTGCCCCAGAGCGCAAACACCACCAAGGCAGGGGCAAACACTGAGCGCCATAAGAAATTCAAAGCTGTGACAAAACTGCTCTTCACTTGTGGACTGCGCCTCTCTTGCACAGAGTGAATGGGATTGCGCATCTGCTGATACAACCTGGCCGACCTGGCCTCATCGTGCTCCTGGCGCAGCAGTGCTGCCATACTTCGAAACCAGCGGTTCTGACCTGCACGTTGAAATTCTATAATCCGGACCCTCCGTGGGTCATACACAGCAAACACATCGAAGCCACGAATGCTGACTGAATTGTACCCGTCTCTGAGCACATCGTGTGCAGTGACCATGTGCCGGGATACTTCCAGCGTCCGGCCCAACTCCACCATGCACCTGATGATAACCGTCGCAAACACCCTTGACTTGCGGCAGGCATTCTCGGGCGTGCTTGAGAAGTAGATTGCCCCACCTGCAAAGCCAGACGTGCCACAGCGCAGGGTTTGTGAACGATCAATGCTGCCAGCACACTCCTCGCTTGTTGCGTGGTAAAGCGTAGTCATATCACAGGAAATGCCTGCAAACTTGAGCCAAATGTTCTGAACAACAACCCTGCAAGGATGCGAATTCACATGAGCACCACACAATGTAGTATGCTGGATCTTCGGCATATGCACAAGCGTCACGAGTTTGAAGAACATCATTTCACTGATTTCAGTGATTAAACGCCAACCCATCACCTGCAGTGGCATCCAGCTTCTCAACATCAACATCCACCGTCTTCACATGTAGGGTGTGTCCATACGTCTTCACATGTCCACCCTTCCCATCTCCCCCCAACCAAACAGGGTTCCGAAAGTTTCAAAGCAAACTGCCCCAATGCACTTCTGGCCATTGAGCATGTCGATGGTGGTGGGTGTGTTTCACAAATGAAGGGGAAGCATGGGAATACCATTGGCCACTGCCCCCCTGCTGGGTTTGTCACATGACATCGCATGACAATATATTACCTCCAGCAACTCGTAGAAACTCCCAGCAATTCTGCCTCTTTTTGGGCCACTTGCAAGCCGTCGCAAGTTGAAGAAGTTCAATCAAGAAACCCTTGAAGAGCACGAATCCGTGGATCAGCACTGATCATGGCACAAAACAATCCGCTTCTTGGAGTTGAAAACAAACATGTCACGTTAACTATCTGCCTGTCAATATCTTAAAGTGCGCCATGCTGCTCATTCAAATGTCAAAGTCATTCAACGCAACGCCCTGGCAACAGCCAAAAGGGCAACTACTGCACCCGCAAGCCACAAGAAGTTCATGCTTGTGCCGGTACCTCTGTTCTGCCCTCGTTGAGCATGCTGATCCTGTTGCCGCTGCTGCTGCGGCTGCTCGCAAAGCAATAGTGCATCCATACTTCGAAACCAGCGGTTCTGACCTGCACGTTGAAATTCTATAATCCGGACCCTCCATGGGTCATACACAGCAAACACATCGAAGCCACGAATGCTGACTGAATTGTACCCGTCTCTGAGCACATCTTGTGCAGTGACCATGTGCGGGGATACTTCCAGCGTCCGGCCCAACTCCACCATGCACCTGATGATAACCGTCGCAAACACCCTTGACTTGCGGCCGGCATTCTCGGGCGTGCTTGAGAAGTAGATTGCCCCACCTGCAAAGCCAGACGTGCCACAGCGCAGGGTTTGTGAACGATCAATGCTGCGAGCACACTCCTCGCTTGTTGCGTGGTAAAGTGTCGCCATCTCACAGGCAACTACCAACTTGAGCCCAGGTGCTATCAAAAGAGACTGCAAGAGTGCAGGCCTCCCAAACCCACAGGAACACAAACAAACACGACCAGTCATTAACATGTCAGTCACATGAAAAGAAAACCCCTCAGTTCCCCACCAGGCCGTGTGGGTGGCGGCGACTCGTCCTGCACAGCTTGAGGTAGTGAAGAAGGACCTCGTGTTACTAGTGGCATCTAGTTTGCACTAGCACAGGCCAGTTGAGGCATACCCAAGGTCTCAAAATCGTTCTTTTCTCAACAAACGAGCAGGCCAGTCGGGTTGCCGTCAACCGTATGAGGCGAAGAAGAATCATTCCCGGTCAATATGATCTAAATCAGTTTGCACATTCTATCCATTAAAGTTCTGGGAGTCAAACAGCTCCTCAACGATACTAAATGTCCACTGTGTTTGCCGAACAGTGCTTACCCATGGTCTATGCCTTGGCGCCCAGCCCTTTTCAAAGGCATTCGGTTGGCAGCTCTAGATCTCTAGGCCAAATTATCATCATCAGTAGCGAGCCCAGGATCACCACTCTTGTCAGCCAATGCCGCACATGCAAAACTATCACTCTCAGAATTTAGATCATAAAACAAACGACTAGATTCTAAGATGAGCCGTTTGTAAACCTACACTATCAAACAGTTAGCTCCACATAAACAACAAATGCATGCAACATCTATACTAAATATGATACATGGATCATCTTGGCCTCTCCCCCCACCACCGGCAGCATCTCAGGGGCCCGAGCCAGTGGACCGTTGGAGTCCAGAGTCCTCTCCTAGGCGAAATGGTTCAGCTGGCGAAGAACCCGAGAAAACAATCCTTGAAAGGCTCTGTATGCCCTTCGAATTATATCGAATTACAGTATGCCATACATCTATGCCAATCGAATATACTTCGATACATCTTACAAATGGGATTTCCGAGTTTTGAATGAAGAATGATCAACCACATGGATGCTGAAGGGCAAGCCCTTGAGGGATTGCCTTCATGAAACCGTCTCAATCTGCTCAGAAGTCTGGAGAGTACCTGGAACAGTTTTGGGGGAGAGATCTTGAACCTCCAGCCACCACACGGCACAAGCTCATCCAGCTGAGGCCCCCCCACCGTGGCAGTGCGACGGAGTTGGCCCGACTTGTTCAAGAGCAATGGCCCCTGCCCTTGGTTCCTTGGTGGTGTCCAGGTGGGATCAAAGGCCAACAAACCAGGAATGGACCATTGAATGGACGCAGCCGGGCGATTCCAGGTGCACTGGCAGGTGCGAATATGATCCTTCATCCCAAACAATGGACCTTTTAAAAGGACGTTCTTGTACCGCTAAGGACCATTAAACAACAGTGTCTCAGTGAGCAGTTTCAGCTTCTGGGCCACGCATGACCACGCTTGGTCCCGCCACGCTTGGTCCCGCGATGGACCAAGTGAGTGAACATCCGGTTGTCACGCCAAGTGGCGGTCCACGCCTGCCTGGGCCTGGAAAGGATGTGGCGAGTCCAAGCGAAGACCCACGAAGAATATGTCAGGACCCTGAGAAGGCCCTGGTGGCTACTGAAGACTCAGTCCTTGCCTGCCCCAAACAAGCAACTGAACTTAACATCAGCAAATCTGGCAAAGGATTTCGTGAACGTTTATGTATCTCCCAACTACGGTAATGATTTTTGACCTTCCACGTCACCAGTTTTCTGAAACTGCTACGCGACCTGGGAACCAAAAAGAACTAGCACAAAGCCTTCAAGATTAGATTCGGCACTTTAATCGAGTGCAATTCAAGTCAGAACACACTAACAATACTTTGCGCAAGCCTCCTCCTTCTGACGAAAAGGCACATGAGGCGAAAATAAACCAAGAAGCTCGTAACAGGGGCATCGCTACTAGTAACAAGGGCATTACTACTAGTAACAATGATCTTTAAAAGCTACTATATAGTAACCAATCTTCTGCAGAGAGGCACTTCGAGCCCACCTCTGTTTTTGGGGTCGGCACGATCCTGGCCCCTCGGCCGCCTTGAGACGAGGGTGGCCGAGCATTGGACGGCGCCGCAGGCTTGGTTGGAGGTAGCCGTCCCTGAGAAGAAGGCGGACGACTGTCTCGCTTCACCTTGCCTTGGACGCAAAGAGGCGGCTTGGAGAAGGGCGAAGGGGTCGGCCCATGTCCCTTCAAGAGACTCACAACAGAAACTGTCCTGTATTTGGGTTATAGTTGTAGTTCATCATGAAATCAGTTGACCGACCTTCATCATCCTTAAAATTAAGCTTCAGCCTTGCCGCAAGCGAAAAGCAGCTTGCTGACCCGAAACAACGGCGAGTTGCTTTGCGAACTGCTCGAAGTCAGATCGACCTCCGTCCTGGGACGCCATTTGGACCGAGGAATCCTTCTCAAACGATGCCTTTTGTTTTAAGTTTTAGTCTTAATTCAATTAATAGCTTCTTGCTCCTAGTAGTAAGGACAGGAGCGCCCCTAGTAGCGTCCGATCGCTCCGTTCGTAGCGGTGCCCTTGTTACTGCAAATGTCCAGAAGAAAACTGTAGTGAACAGAATTGCTGTACACGCTGTGGTAGTTGGTTGTCACGTCCACGTAAATTGGTAGTTGTCAAGCATCTTGTCTGCTTTCAACAAGCACCATGAAGGCGGACTTTAGGGCAAGTCCACACAAATTCCAAGCCGATCAAAACACCATTGAGATGTTCAATAAAACACAGTGGCGCAAGACACAACAAACATGTTTTCTAATAAAACTATAAATATCGTGTCAGCAGGCTTCGGCAGCCAGTCACACCAGACACTATGCAAGCTGGCTGAGGGCAGAACACTTCTTTCAGCTCTACATCCAGTCTACTCTGCCTTCCACCTAGCAGCTCTCAATAAATGCCTTCGGGTCACTTGAGATGAATTTCTTCATGAAGGTCCGGCGGATGATCTAAGATTAGTGGCTTCATAGATCAAACTGTCACTAAGGGAACTGCACGAAAACTGCACGAATGGCTTAAGGGGCTTGCAAAGGAGATTGTTGTGTGGCAAACATCTGTCAGGTTCACAAGAAATGTCCAAACAAGCGTGTCTCATATAAATGTAAAGCATTGATAGTGATGACGACTGGTGACATTGACATCTGCAAACCAACTAATCGTCTGTTCAAGTCTTACAAGTAGCTTGCCTTTTGACTTTTATGAACTTGGTCAAATGATATACAGTATTACACATCATTGCAAGTGCACATGTCATATCTCCCATCCCCCAATTTCGCCAGGCTTGCCGTGTGCGCTTGGTAGTTCCGTCACGGCCTTGGGAACTGTCAATTCTGAAACGACCAACGACCTCATCCCAACCATCCCAGGCCCACCGGACCTCTCTGGTACGCGAAAGCCGAGGCTGAAGCATTGGCATCTGGTCGGCTGCCCTGCTGCCCCATGGCGACCTTGCTGGATCCGATTCGAACGGGGATCGGTACGGTGTTGGGTTCCGCTTCCCGGAAGGTGCCGCATGGTCTGGACAAGTGGGTCTATGATGACACATCTTTTGCATATGCCTTGGGTCTATCCTTATATACCTGTAACAGTGGATGATGATGGTTAGTAAAGGCCTTGTTCAAAAAAAGAGTGATCATTGTTGACTGACTGTTGCAGGTAAGAACGGACAGACCCAACATATGCCAATATATAGGGTATTACGGTGTTACGGTATTTCTAGCACCGCTGCGTTGCACGTGCGGACCGCGGCCCCCCTGATTGCAACAAGCACATGGTTGAAACACACTGCCAAGTCTGAACCGTTCAACAACACCGGTCTCAACAAATTCCAGAAGACAAATATAAAGGTATGAAATCAAGCAGCATGCTGCAAACGCTGATCCCAACTGAGCCTAAGGGCCAAAATTAACGCACAATAACAGCATCCCATGCGATTCACACCCAAGCTAAGCTCTTTATTCACACCACCCGCCACCAGGCCAGCTCATGCCCCATGGCCCGCTCTTGAGCAGTTCGGCTGGGCACCCCCGCTGCTGGTCATAAACACCGAGCGAAACGCCAGCGCAGCTCCTAAGACAGGAAGTGCACGAAACCTCTTTGCACGAGGGACCAGACAACCGCCCGCGGTGTTGCATCAGACTAGGAGAGCCCATGGATCCTCTGCAGGCAGCCCGGGCTTCATGCATCATGAACCCTTGGAAATCTCGTGAACATCTCTGTTAACCCTGCACAGGATGAGAAGTGAACCGTCCGCCAGCTGCTCAACTCTTTGCTGCCAAGCAACTTTACTCAACTCATCACGGTCGGCGTCACCGGCGGATTTCGCGGGTCGCCGTAGGCCGCGGGTCTTTGGTGGTGGGGGCTAAGCTGGTTGGCTAGGTGCTTGGGTTGGTGGGAGTTGAGCGGATGTGGCTGGATGCGGCTGGAGGCTGTGGCGTGATGCTGAGAAAATGCTGAGAGGTGAAAAATGTAAGGAGGCGATGAGTCCGGGCGATGTTTGATGAGGGAATCAGGCTGCAACAGTCATCAAGAAAAAATCACAAAGAACAAAGATTGGTTTGCCTGAGCTCTTGATTTGGCAACATTTCAGCTGTTCCAGCCCCCCCTGGTTACGAGCAACTCCTTTGCTGAACTTGATGTTCACGCGGCCGGCGTCAGTGTTTCAAGACCCTTCGCAGAAATCAGCGAACTCCACTGCAAGGATGTGCCCGAGCATCACAAACGCGAGGGATGTCAAGCTACTAGTAGCGATGCCCTTGTTACTACTAGCGAAGGAAGCCCTTGTTACTAGTGCCAGGAGCTACTAGTAGCTTCTTGCTCCTAGCAGCGATGCCCTTGTTACTAGTAGCTTCTTGTTCCTAGTAGTTGCAACATCCGGAACACCTCCACCCAGCGGTCTTGTGCCAAACACTCGAAAAGGAAACAACCTGCGCTGGGAAGGACATGCTGCTGAAGAAAAAGATCACACACACAGCGCAATCACCCTGCAACTCCACAAAATGTTGTCAGTGTTGTTCCCTAGAAAACAGTACGTTGCCTATGTTAGACCGTCCACGATCTATGTCAATGTGTGTTTCGACATGCCAGGCAAGGGAGAATCCTGAAGATTCAGAATGAAGCCACTCAAATGGTTAATAGTTAAGGAAAGGGGACAACCTGTGAGGAGCACAATCTCCAGTGTAGTAGAGCACTAGCATATCTCAATCCTTTCAGATCCTTTCAGCTTTGAGACACTCTCTAACAACCCCACTTGCCGAGATCAACAGCTCCCGTTGGTGATCAACGGCCGCCCGCATCGAAACAAGTAGAGCTTGACCGATTAACATGGCTGACCTGCTGGGGCTGACCTGCTGGGCCCCTGCCTGACCAAACCAATCAAATCAAATCAAAACGAAAAAACATCGACTTCAATTTGCCCACAGGACCTTCCGGACCTTCTGCCTTGTCCCCAGCTTGGCGAATGCTGCGGCGCCTGTGGCGGGTGGGTGCGCGCATGTGCGTGTTTTCCTGGAAGGTCTTTCACGTGCAAAGGATGTGTCCAACATCATGAAGATTCCCAAAGTCTTGCAGCGACCAATCTTTTAGGCTGTGTTTGTCAGTTCAGGAAAATGCCCAAGCAGTCTAAGGGGGGCCTACAATAGCCTTGAGCATCATGTGATGACAAGGTGGTTTCTCACTACTTGATGTGATTCCTCCCCTCATGAAACTTCTCCCCTCCTTGACCTAGTACCACTTCCCACTGTTGAATGTATAAGTCTCGGGTACCAACCTAAAGTGTCTAAAGCGAGGACCTGCTGTATAGCAGCAAGAGAATCAAATTTGTGCTGGGCCAACCTTTATTCATGCTCAGGAGAAAAACAAAAAAACAAACATGCTGCTACAGCCACATCTTGTTGCAGCTCCTACTTCTGACAAACACCCTGAAACCACCTAGCCTCCCACACACAACTCTGCCCACGCCCTCCCCACGCCGTTTTGGACCGCTCCGCGTCGTCCAGGCCCAGCATGTCGCGCAGCACCCGCAGCACCCGGAGCTGTTGAGCCACCGGAGGTCTCAAGGTTCGAAAGGGCACTTTGGTCCGATCGCTTCCCTTGAGCTCCACCACCAAGTAGTAGAAGACATCAAAGTAGGTGACCTGACTCCCGGTCGGTACAAGGCGCCTTCCGACCAGTGCGGTTCCGGGGAAACATGAGGACATGTTTGGGCATTCGAGGTTCTCTCATGGTTGGTTTTGGCTTGAGTGCCACAAATCCATGATACCTGGAAGAACGTCCTTGGAACTTCTAATGTTTGGCATTCGGATTCGAAAGTGGTCTCAAGGTCCCACAGGTTCTATTCCCATGCCAAGACTTGCAAAAGAATGGCATCACTGAGACAAGTGGCAGCTTCTGCAATGATGATCTCCTCAATTTCTGACCTCATTGCGCGGCAGGTGTCAGGTATCCCACCAATATAGAGGAAGTTCTCTGACCAGCGGCCTCCCAGGAACCCTCTTCCAGCTCCTACTGTCGTTGCATTGGCAGCCATGGCTTCAGGCAAAACAGCCGGCACAACTTGACTTTTCAATTGTCCTAGGCCAGTGGTGCAGCATCTGGCTTGCCAGGACCTACTGATACTGGCTTCAAAGACCAGTCTCCAGCTGGGTAATGATATAATGTAATGTAGATAGATTTTATATATTCCTGGATCCCTAAGTCCTCACTTTGGCAAGACCAGTGCCACCTCAGCACGTTGAACCGGCAAGACCGTTGAACCCATCAGCAAGAACCCGAGACACGGACGTCTCACGAGACACTCCGAGACACATCTCCACGAAGTCGCTCGTGGTTTTGCCGGATCCTCAGAAAGACGAAGCCAAAGGCGGCAGCTAAAAGACAAGGCCGTCTCTGTGGGCTTGAGATTTGTGGAAACTGGTCGAACTGCTACACTTTGCTTGCTGTTCATTCTCACTGGTTAATCTTTTTCAGGCGATCCATATGCCAACAAACTGCAAACCTGTTTTTTTGGGAGGAATGTGCTCTTCCTTGACCTCTGACTTGACCAACGCTTCCCCCGAGTTCCAGATGTTTCTTAGAAGCACGTTCAACAATCGGATTTATGCTACATCAATGCACCTCACTGCACTACACCCCTGCAGCAAACCACCCTGGCTAGGCTAGGTGGCTAGGTTTCCGACCCTCTTGAATCACCATGCAAGGATCGATTGCGGCTGCTGAGCTGCAATCCTAGACCTTTCATGCACACCAGCTTCTCTTCTGCCACATCGCGCGGAAAAATCCATACAGCTGCGCCCAGCAGCAACACCACTGCCTCGTAAGTGCAGGGTTCTTTCTCATGCAAACTCAGACCCGTGGCGATACATTACAATTTACGTTACACACACATACATACATATAACTGTATATAGATCAAACCAATTTTCATAAAATTTAAATGCTCAGTACACATGCTGAATGGGATATTTGGAAAAAAATGTGATGGCAAACTCGTGTTGTTTCAGGCACGGCCTCAGTTCAGCTCCCCCCAAAAGCTATCTAGATTCAACTCCATGGCTTGGGATCAGAAGGGTTCACTCAAGAGGTAGGTTAGGTGTGGGAACGAAAACTCGACACTCCGATCTCATGCGAGATCATGTGATGGCCAAGCCAAGTCTAATCAACATACGGAAACCTCGTGTTTTTTCTCACACTCAAGTGGCCAGTTTCCATAGACCTAGGCCGCAGAACAGCACTGGACCGGCCAAGCAATGCAGTGCTCTCCAGTAAGCGCTCGGCGCACGTGCGTTGTCCAGCTTCACGGTGAAGATGGCCCAGCCGGGGGAGAACTCTTCATGAAACTGGACCATGGCAGATTCAAAGGATAGCTTCAAAGACCTCCTAGTAGCGTCCTTGCTACTAGTAGCTTCAAAGACACACTAAAAGCTTGTTGTTCCTAAGAAGCTTCACAAACCTACTGGTAGCTTCTTGTTAATACAGGTGAAGCGATTCCCAGTGAAACGATTCCCATGGCAGATTCAAAGGATTATATAAACTGATCAAACTTCCAACCCAGAAGGTTTGGGTGAGTCCTTGCTGAGCCACTTGGTGAGATTCGGTGAGATTCGGCAAGTCTCTTCCAGGTGGGGATTGGTGGAAGGCTTAGCAGCTCTGTTCGTGGGTGCAGGATTGGGAGATCAACCGGGCTCACATTTTGAGGATCCAAGCAGGATGGTCCTGGTTCACTGTGAGAAGTATGTAATGACAAGAACTCACTCAAATTTATTTTGGCCTCTTCAGCATGAACATGTCCCTGATGTCTTCTCGTTGGATTCACTATGATTCAGTTGGATTCCATTTCATTGCGTCGTCCTAGCCTGAGGCTGGCCTGCTTGAGCAACACATGACAATACAAAACACCATGATGACTGCTTGAAGCCTTGCGTGGTTACAAAACTCCCAGTCACAGGCAGCTAGAAAAGCGCACATCGCATACCTATATAACTCTATATAGTCCTAGTTCCTTTTTGTATCTTTTTGTCTGGCTGCAGCAGCGAAGTTCCACAAGCACTGATTTCTCACGGCCTTGAGACGTGCCAGCCCTCTGGAACGTCTCTGACCAGTGACCCAGTTCATGCAACATCTGCACATCTCCCTCTCTGCCAGCGACCGAGCACAGTCTTCCAGGTCCTCCCTTTTTGCAACACATGCACTTGCTTGCTGAAGTTACACCCGCACATGCCGATAACCACTGTGCCCCGTTTTCTGGAGGCCTTGTGCCCATGCAGCAGAACATCACCTGGGTAGAACTGGAGTAATTAGTTGTGGATGCAAGTCTAGAGTCTAGATCCGCTCGAGCTAGCTGCGCTTTCAACATCTTTCAACCCCATCTCCAGCTTTGACTTTGCATTTCCGGGTCATGTCCTGGTGTTTTCACTCCTCGCGTCTCTGAACACCGAAAAGCATGGCATGAGTGATGACGAATTGGACACATTCACCATCTCAGCATCTGAGCCCAACCTCTGGCACTGTGCCAATCCAACCTCCAAATCAGCCCGTCTTGCCACTCGACTGTTGCTCCAACAGGTGCCAGTACGCTTGGCCGCTGAGCTGACCAAGCTTGGTCAAAAGCTCCGGAAATCGTACTCCGACAACGCACGCTTGGACAGCCATGGATAGCATGATCACATCCTCAGCTGCAGTGGTGTTCCATGCGGGTGTTCAAGGGATGGCCCCGCTTCGGGATGAGCTGTGGTCCGGACGAACAGAAACTGTGGTCTCCCTCTCTCTCTCTCTCTTTCCTGAAGGATCTGATAAAGGTTTGATGTGTTGTTATGTTTGAACCATGCATGTCGTGTATAATACTTATCATTCAGTACAAATACTTATATATATATATATATATCTTATCTTTCAGTCTATGCATGGCCACGTGTCTTTGGTGCTATGCTCACTCGTGCGGGAATTACGGATGCTTCCTACATTCGCCTGTCCACACCACAAGTGGTCCGCAGTGCTCAAAGCATTCCTCTCTCCAATTGGTCCATCCCATCCGAAAAGACCCTCACCCATCTCATCTCCACAGTCGCCGTCTCTGCACGCATCTCCATCTGCTCCCACAGCGCTAAGCTCTGCTCCCACCGCCGCGCCAGGCCGCAAGCGCGCATGGCCGCGTTGCCGGTGCGAGCGTTCACTGGTGCAGCTGCGCTGTGGTCTTCATAGCGCGTCAACAAGGATAAAGCATGGAGCCAGTGAGCAGACTCTGCACAAGCACCTCAACCAGGAAGCATTTGGGGTCCAGAAGAGGGATGATCACATGCAAGAGCGATGCGTTGTGTTTTTGCTGCTTTCTCTTGTTTGCAGCCGTGTTCTGGGGGCAGGGAATCTTTTCACGCATCTCACTGACAGTTGATTCTTGAGACCAATTGTCATTAAGGTGTGTCTGTGTTCTTCCATGGATACGAGGTGCTGATCGCGGCATTGTACATCACCAGGTCAGCACTGTTGGCGTCCTGCTCTCGCTCGTAGTCGTCCTTGCAGAGAGCCCCCCCATCGGTTTAAAAAGGAGAACCCCATACAGCATCGGTGGTTTTCGCTGTTTGATCGTCTGGGTTGACCATACGGGCCTCAAAGAATGTCCTAATGCATGTACACCCTTTTCAATCGAACATTCTGAAAGGTGAGAGTCATGGTTGGCAGTCACTGGGACCAAACTAGATCTCCACAGCGTGTTGGCACAGCGAGTATGTTAACAGTACTAGTCACTCGTCGTTTTAACCAAGGCGGAGGTTGGCTGAATATATATGATCATGAACAATAATGGGCAATTGACAGAACCACCAACAAACCATCCTTTTTCGCTGCCTAATGGTGATTGAACTGGTTGTCTGTCCAACAAGTATGGTCACGGGCAGAGGACAAGGCCAGGAACCGATGCTGTATGAGGAACGAACAGGTCAAGGCCACTTAATAGTTGTGTCATTGAAGAACAAACAGGTCATCTCTACGAAAGTGTTTGAGTATCCTTGTGCACTGTTTGCTTACCGAGCAGCCAACAAACGCAGGGCATGCTGCCACTGGCTGGCATCTTCGCATGAGCTGATCGCCGCGCTGTATACCACCGCATTGGGGGCCAGGGTCGCCAACGACTGCTCAAGCCTTGGGAGAAAAGAATGAGCATGAAGTGCCATGAAGCTGCTCGCGGCTCATGTCGATCCTAGGATTCACCACACTCACCCTAGGATTTGAGCCTCCAATTCCCTGCATCCCAGTGTCAATCTCAAGGCCTTCTGCCACTGGCTCCCAGCCCCACATCCTGCGATTGCCGCTGAATAGGTCACCACATCGGCTGAAAGGCATGGAACGTCCAATAGCGCCTCCAACACTGCCAGGGAGTTGGGCCAAAAGTGACTTCGCACCGCTGCAGTCAGTAGAACGTTGTAGGCCACCAGGCTCCTGCGAATCCGACCAACCAAATCGCTCGGCAACTGGGGACTTTTTCGTGTTGGTTCTGCTTGATGAACACTTGGTAAGGGCATAGCATATCAGGGTCACATGTTCCTTTGCATGGTCATATTTGTCTTCAGCCAAGTATCTCTGGCAGGCCCTGAGCTCGAATCTCATCCATCACGTTGAAGCACATCTGCCTCATGTGCCAAAGTCTAAAAGAATCTATAATTTGCTCTATGAGGACTGGATCGGCTTGCTTAGGTGCGAACATCGCACCTATTGATGCTTCATAAAGTGAACCCAAAGAAATCAAACTCCAACCATCATTGTCATCTACCTGATGTTCGTCCAACTTGCCCCCACTGCTCTTGGGTAAGCATGAAAATGACCAGTTGCCACTGGCCCCCCTTCTCGCTGCAGCTCATCAGCGCGCAGTAGGTGATCAAGTCGCCCTCCACACCTGCCGATCCCGGAGCCCAGCCTTGATCCCAAAGCCTTCGAAAAGGAGCGCACCTAGCTCCTTCCTTTGGCGAGTGCTTCCCAGAAATCGTGGCAAACGCACGGAGATGACTTGTGTAATGCTGCAGCATATGGCTGCTTTTTCATGGAGATGAACAGTCTCATCCTGCTTGTCTCTCCCACAAACTGAACAGGGCCACTGCGGCCTTGTCCACTCCCACCTCTCATTACAATAGCCCAAAACAAAGCAACCGCCAGCAACACCGCGGTCGACGAGAAACACCTTTTGACGAGAAACACCACGAAGTCCTTTTCCCTGAAACAATGGAAGTGGAAAACCACTGGTTTGTAGAGGAAAACAGTCTTCCTTTCGAGGCCATCTTCCACGTAACCATGTTTGGAGGGTATCCGTTGCTCAACACGCGGCGGGTTCCGCCGGCCGCCTGAGCTCTGTTGCTCCTCGAACACATCCAAAGCCAAGCGCCACTGGCTTCCGCTTTCGCAGGCACTGATCGCGGCACTGAAGAGTACCTCACCGGAGCGGAACGGGTCCACCAGGGTGTGATACGGTGCCCCGATCGTAGCGTCACTTGCTCCGGTGGCGCCCTTGTTGGTGAGCTTTTCCCAACCAGTTCGAGAGCTCTAAGTCTTCGGAACTGTGTCTCTCTATATGCAAAAGACAGCTATACCCAGCTGTATGCCATGCGTCGAGCGCCCTTTTTAATGGGATGCGATGGGTAAAATGCCCGGACACCTAAGATGTAGACTTCATGAAGAATGATAAGAATGAAGCCTCCTACCTTGGAAAACCTCCAGAACGTCTGTGCAACAACTGATGTTCAACACACACGCTATTATCACTATTGTGGTCCAACACCTGCACCCCAGTTCACATCCCCAAACAAACTGAATCCAAATCCAGAGTGTCAAAATACAAAGACCATCAAAACAGGCTTCTCTAGGGCCAAAAACACTTAACAAGGAGTCTTCCGTGCGACTTGTGCCGCGCCCAGGTGCCACGTTTCCCAAACTCTGCCGCCGCGCCGACCGGAAGATGGCCAGTGCCATGGGCCAGGCCGAGCCGGTGGAATCGGCGCACGCGGAGATGGCGCTGCTGTAGAAGACCACGTCCAGCTGCAGCTGATCCCGCGAAGCGTCGAAGAAAAGCCTGGGAAGAGAAACGGGTACGAACGACACAAAATCGAGTGTAGGTCTATCTAAATATGAAGGAATTGGTGAGATCGGCTAAGTGGCCAAAAGGGCTGAAATCCTGGATCAAGTGGCAGAACAAAATGAGAAACTGCTGGGTGCACCAAACTGGTGGCAGGTTCTGATGCAGTGCCTGCTGGGTGCAAACAAACAAGCATCTCATCTCCTTTCCCCATGCCAGCAGAAGCACACCCAGGCCCAAGATTTCGTCAAGTGAACAAATAGAACAACTGACCAAGTGTTCCTCCTGTCAACTTATTTACAATCCAATTCTTGCCACAAATCAGCACATGGCCTGAGGCCACATGTGTGGAAGGAACTCTGGATAACTCTGGACTCTGTGAGGCGGATGCCGATGCCTTTTGAATCTAGATTATTTAGACAATCTTTAGCATCTTAGCTACATTCAGTTACATAGGCTTCCTTCCCTGTGTGCTACTTTCTGAGGGCATCCTCTGTGCAATTATATATCCCTAGGTCCGGTACTGTAGGATGTTTATCAGCAAGTTCGGCCATGGAGCGAGAGCGCTGCTTGCCATTGCCCACTTTTCTGACATGCGCTCACTGCAGCGCTATAGCCTTGGACTATCCATACCCCTCACAACTGTGCCAGATTCTACAGGTGAATCCACTGATGATGAGAGTGAGGGCCCATGTGCCCAGCCCAAAAAACTCCAGTCCTTGCCAGAACCAGTCTCCAGTTTCACCTGTCTGGCCCTGGCCTTTGTTTTTTTGATTGCACCTCAACCAAGAGGACAAACGAATCAAAGAAGGGACCTATCCCAAGGCACTGATGAGGCTGGCTTGGAGCTTCACTTCGTGCAGGTGCTCAAAAAGCTCAAGTGCCACCGTCCTCAACCAGAAAAGCAAAGGTTCAATTGCCATAGGATGCCAAACCGCTGAGGTCAACATCCGGACTCTCTTGTGCAGTTTGGGTCAAGAGAAATCACGCCAGATTTATGTGACTGGAAGTGGTCATGGAATAATTTGATGGCCATGCTGCGTGAACAAACCATGAATCCACTTATTCGTGATCAATAGTGATCACATGATATATATATATATATATCATATTTTGTCAACAATCCGGTGATTCTTCTCATAGACCTACAAACTACACCTTCCCCCCCGAAACCTGGTAACCCCGGCAGTTTTTCCCAGTGAATCTTTTCGAAGCTGCCAGGGGTCCATTGATTGGACCTCTCACAGGAGCTGATGATGGCATTGTGAGAAATCACATCGGCCTCCAAGGCTTCCTTCTGCAAAGCCTCCTGAGTTGGGGGCCGGGCTAGGACAACCAGGACCGGCCTAAAAGGCCGGAGCGAGAACAAACGAGTCATCTGAGAGAACCCTGAGTGAGTCATCTGTTTGGCAGTTGAGACTGCGGCAACATGCTGCAATAAAGCAGCTGAGATGGGAGAACATATGAGAAAATGCTGGACGAATCACTGAAAACGGAACTGATAGCCTTGGACATGTCCGGGGATTGGCACAGTTCAAAGCCATAGTTCACTGACGGACCTCCTCAAGTAACGGCAACAAACGTCCCTGAGAAATAGTGCAAACAGCCTCCGTGCTGGTGCCGAAGTGCACAACACAATGTGTTGCTCCCGACCTCTCCTGATTGATATGGACCCGAAGTGCCTCCCTCGCGACTTCTTCACAGGAAATTCCCCTGATATAACTCACCACTAATCCAACCTCCGGGGATGAAGAACTGAGGTGCAAAGCTGAGTGTCCAAGAGGCTCAAGCCCACTTGCCAGTTGCCGCTCTTCCCACATGCACTGATGACCTCTGCAAGGCAATCTGACCCCTCGTTCCAGGTCAAATCATGACATGGCCCAGCCAGGTTCTTAGAGATTCTTTAGCCCTAAAGGCCCTAGACATCGCTAGACTCAAATTGTTTGCGGCCCCACTCAGGGCTGCCCACCGGCCAATGGCAGCACGGGGGGTCCCTTGCCGATGTGTGTCTTTGATCATGTTTGATCTGACTGGCAATGAAACGAACGTCAAGTCACACTGTTGTAAAGAATTGTGTCTGCCCGAACGACTCTCACTCGAAGGTCTTCCAGGCAGGCAAGCGCGTGTTGCCAACGATGGCTTTTGTCAAAAGCACTGATGGCACGAGTGTAGGTCAACAGCGCTCCTTGCAAGGCATTCTTCTGACAATCTGCCACTGACGCAAGGGCTTGCTCCCATCTCAGCCTCCGCCCCAACATTCCACGCCCTCGCTGAACACATGGCGAGCACTTGGCCCTACACACCTACAGCATCAGTTCACTGAGGCGGATGCAGTCAATTCATGTTGCAAAAGGTTCACGGAGAGATGATATACCGCCTTCCATGTGCTGTGAGGCTACAATCCTCAAACCTGTCTCACATGAATGACATCAACAAAAATAAACCTCCTCTCCGGGTCCTGAGGATCACTTCCTTGCCGCCCTACTAGTCCCCATCATACTCATACCACCGCTAACACCGCTCGACTGCTTTCAAGTGCCGGCCACCTTTTTTCTCCCTTTGGACCACCCCTGTGGCCGCGCGCTGCAGCTCTTCCATCGCCCACAACACCGTAGCGGATGGCCCTCGCTGCCCCGCCAGGCACGGAACGGCGGCCACACACGCGGCCGCGGTCGTGGAGGGTGAGGATGAGAGCTGAGAGAGCTGGGAGAGGATGGTCAAAGCATGGACCCAAGCAAGACCTTCCTGCAAAGGGGGGTGCGACAAAATCGATACGGTAAAAGGTTAGTGTTTTTTTAGGTGCTAGGTGAATCATCCACTTGAGAATCCGTTGTCATGATTTTAAAAAGAGGATCACGTCCCTCTGTCATTATGAATGCTCAGCTTGAGTCGCCCGTCTCCGAACAAATAACAAGCAAACAGATCGAATGTGAACAGTATGTGCCCTACGGCGAAGCTCAACCTACTAAGTTCTTGCCATGAGCTTCAGAAAAGCCCCGTTTTCACGAACTGTCCAGGCCTCACACGCACTCAGTGCAGTATAGTAGGTGATTGAATCTCTCTGCAGGTTCACTAAACCAACTTCGTGGAACAAATGCAGCGCCAGTGGCCAGTGTGTCCGGCAAGCGCTGATCGCTGCGTTGTAGGTGATCAGATTGGGCTGGAGCCGTTGCACTGGCAACCACCTCAGCAATTCCAAAACCTGCCAGGGTCAGCAGGGATAGTGCATAGCAAAATATGAAAAAAACAGATATATTGTTATACTGTTATATAGAAACAGCAGAACCCCGCATTTTGATTGAATCTACAACTTGACGTCTTAATAGTCATCTTAAATCCAACCCGGTCGTTCTATATACAAGTCTTTGGATGCTATGAGTCTTCCGCAACGTATTCGCTGGTTGGGACTATGTTGGGCTCCTCGTGACGCCACAACTTGGTTGGGATTTGATGTGGATATCAACATGGAGATTAAATGTGGTTGTGGGGTTCCTCTGTGGGCACTGCGCCTGCGCCCATTGGCTACACTTTTCCAGAGCACTGATCGTGGCACTGAAGGAGATAATGTTGGCATCCAAATGACGACAATCCGCCAGCAACGACAAAGCCAAACCTAAACGACCACAAGCAACGAGACATCGAGTGATCGACACCAGTTCAAACGACCCCTGAGAAGTCAGACCTGATGTGTGGACTGCTGGTTGTCAAGCGTGTTTGCTCCCTAAAATGGGCGGCTCATTGGCTCATCTAACTGCTAGCCATGCTGCATCTAACTGCTAGCGCGTCCAGACCGCTGTTTCTCTCCTTGTCCAGTCCCAAGTCTGACATCAACCCATCGACCCCAACGGCAAAAAGACAGGCAGGCACGAAACATACGAAGGTGTGGAGTCCCCCAAAAGGAAACAAGATGGAGCCCACGAAACCGAATGCAAACACGTTCAAAAAGCTACATATGTCCAAATGACACTCTTGTAGGACACTCTTGTGGGACACTCTTGTGGGACACTCTAGTAGGAAACTCTTGTGGGACACTCTTGTAGGACACTCTTGTGGGATACTCCTGTAGGACACTCTTGTGGGACACTCTTGCGGGACACTCTTGTGGGACACTCCTGTGGGACACTCATTTGGGACACTCTTGTGGGACACTCTTGTGGGACACTGTTGCAGGACACTCTTGTGGGACACTCTTGTGGGACACTCTTGTGGGACACTCTTGTGGGACACTCTTGTAGGAAACTCTTGTGGGACACTCTTGTAGGACACTCTTGTGGGACACTCTTGTAGGGCACTCTTGTGGGACACTCTTGTGGGACACTCTTAAGGGACACTCTTGTGAGACACTCTTGCGGGACACTGTTGCGGGACACTCTTGTGGGACACTCCTGTGGGCCACTCATTTGGGACACTCTTGCGGGACACTCTGTGGGACACTCTTAAGGGACACTCTTGTGAGCTCTTGCGGGACACTGTTGCGGGACACTCTTGTGGGACACTCTTGTAGGAAACTCTTGTGGGATACTCTTGACACTCTTGTGGGACACTCCTGTAGGGCACACTTCGTACGAGACTTCCTCCAAAAGTCACGCTGCGAGGCTGCAAAACGAGCGTTTCGTACGAGACTTCCTCCAAAAGTCAC